GTTGAGGGGATAGTAATGACTACGAAGGGGAAAATCAGCGTCGCAAGATTTGGGGGGGAGCATTCAGTCTCGCTCCCAGGAGAAATCGGAGGTGCAGGGAGGAGCTGGGAATGAATAAAGCTTGCGTGCATTTAAAATCCAGCAAGATTCTTTGGCCTTCAACGGAACGGAGGACCCCGATCCCTTGGCGGCGTGTGGAGAAGCCCGCTCGCACTTACCTCTCGGGAGCTGAAGTGTAAGTAGTCCCCGTACTCCCTCCGCCGCCGCCGCCACCACGCAGACCCCGAAGCCACGCCCAGGAAGGTTGTTACAAGGACTTAAAGGAGAAGCGTCGCCGCTGTCGCGAAGATGGAGAGGGGGGGGGGGGGGCAGGATTGAGGCTTCCTGGAAATTTACTCTCGGTGGAAGGGAAATCGAAGGGGAGGCAATAAGAGAGAGAGAAAAAAAGGGGAGGGGGATATGAATATGTGGTGAGATTCGGAGGTAAAAAGAAAGTGTGGTAGATAAGAAGTAATGGAAGAAAACCAAGGCTAAAAACACCGGGTAGTGACAGAACAGCTGATAAAAAAGATTGTGGATGAATAATGGGGTGTCGATGTGAAGAATCGGAGTAAAGGATTGCAGCGTAAAGTTTGAAGTGAAAGGAGATTATGGGATAAAAGGAAGTAACAAGGGAGAAAACAAAAGGAAATGGGGAGGCTGGAAAATCAGAACTAGATTGCAAGGGAAATAAACGCTTGATAGGCTATTAATAGTCGCAGGGCAGAATAGATAAATAGGGCTTCAAAATTTTAACCCGCGTACCTGGGGCTGAAGACAAGCTAGGGAGGATAACGTCAGACCCAATATATGACTGATGGGGATGGTAATCCGAGTCATAAACTATGCAGATCTTAAAGCGAACATGAAGAACAAATTGGATTATTTAGGCACTATTTTACCTCTGCTTATCCCAAGGCTCTGAATGGGAAGTAATTAAAACGGGTAAACATTATAACATTTGCCTAATTTAATTATATTTTGTGTCATTATTAGTTGTTCACCCACATACGCTAGCTTGATTCAACAGGCAAGATTTACAAGTTTCACAACAGCCACCAAACGGGCAAGAAATGTGGAGGAAGGAAACACCCCAAATAGCTCACTTACACGGAGCATAAAGGCTGCGGACCTATGCATGGAGATTTATGCACGATAGAACTCAAGAGAATTTATAATATAAAAGAGGTTTAGTTGCATGAGATTTATATTTTATTACTTTTTTCATTTACATCTTCAGCCTTCAAAAGGACCAAGCCAACTTCCCCCGTAATCGTGAGCTCAAGATCCGTTGGACTTTAACTCCCACAATTCAAAGCTAGTGTGGTTGGAAACTATGATGAAATCTGACTTACCTAGATGACAACACACCAGGAAAGGCTGAATCAAGAATTCCCCAGTTCCCTCCCACCATTTCATCCTACCAAAATTCGTATGTGGTAAGCTAGGCTAAGAGAGATTGATTCAAGACCGGGCTGAACATTTTCAATAACGCAGGATTATAAATCAAAATAGAAAAACAAGAGGAGGGAATGTGATGGAGCGTAATTCCAGTTTCTCCTATTTAGCACATTGGAATCTGGTGTCTCTTGGTACGATCTCTTCTTATAAGAGGCATCGTGATGGTGTTTAAAACACTTTGTGCTTCCCACAATCACTGTCCAGTTTCGGGTTGCAGAGAATTCATCACCGTCTTGAGCATTTGTTCAAGACTTTCCTCTTCTTGGCAATAAATTATTCTACTCATTGTACTAAATAAGAGACTCCGGTTAGCAGAGCTTGTTTTTTTTTTTTAAACTTCCGCCGCAGTGAGCGTGAAGCCATCCAGCACGTACACCAGCACACGCGCGTTTTCCCAGCTTCGTCCAGCACATATTTGTCAATGGCCTCACGTCGGACCAATAGGAAAGAACCAAGGCTCTACCAACCAGCTTCCACGAGAGAATTCGGAGGTCCCGCCCCCTATTTTCCAGGAAGCGTTCATTCGTTGGTGGAGAATGTTTGCGTTCCATGAATGATCACAAGAACAGCCAATGACAATTGTTGATTTATTAATTGATCCTAATTTCAACCAATTACCTTTACCTATGAGCAAAAAGGCCAGCTGCTCGCTTCTGAATGACGCTTCGGTCTTCTCAGTAGAACGTGGATGATTAATAATCCAAATCACTGAGTTGCTGTGCTAATATCTGCTCCTGCTGCATTTGATTTTCTACCAATGGCATATCTAAAATCGGCAAACATGTCGTTAAAAAGAGAATGAAGGATATTATAAAAGATGGTTAATTCGCAAAGGACCCCCAAGACCCAAAAAAAAAAGGTTTAAAATTAAGTGGCGTTTTGCTGTTGGCTGGCACTTCGTCAGCCAACCGTGTTTGCCGTAGTTTTAGGATGGGCATATTCGCCTTTGAAGGGGCTTGCAAGGAGAATATCTTTCAATAATTATGGAGACTGAGAGTTTCCGGTTTTCGCCACTGCTCTTTCTCCTTCAGAATAAATGGCGCCTCCTCCTTCCCGTCCTTTGTCATACTGTACTTCCCTCACGGCGAAACAGGTTGCAACATGAGGTTTGAACGCGAACGCTCTTCTTTGACAGCCACTTCGGAAAATCAATGCGCTGCTTCTTCCCGCCTCTTAGGAGTTAAGACACCACAGGCCCTCTCCGGACACCTTCTTGTGATTGACATCTATGTCCCCCAACAAATTATCCGAGAAACCGCCTCTGATCCTTATTGGTGAAAGGTTTCCCTACCTCCGCCAATGGCGCTTCACGATCATGACGAGGAGGCGTTCCCCAACACTCCCCACCTTCGGCTAATTGACCGCAAAGAGCAGTCGGTGTCCGCGTGCGCCGAGCCCTCCCTCCGAATGTGCCCAATACGGTTTGAAATGGCGTGCGGGAGGGCCCTTTCCCTTCCCGACGGAGGGAGGTCCCACCGGCCAATGAAAACCTGGGAGGCGGGGCTGCCCTCTTTTTTTCCCTTCCCTTTTGAGTGACGGCGAGACCGCCCAATGGGACGCCCAGTCCCCTCCCCTCGACTGAACGAGGCTGGGGGAGTCCGGCCAGTGGTTCTCTTTTTCTGTCTCATTCGCAAGATGGCGGAGGCTGCAAACTGCATCATGGAGGTGAGGGAGTGGGGGGGTGCGGGGAAGAGAAAGAAGGGGGGAGACAGAGGCTGCCCCCGGCCCCCCCCAGGGCCCCTAAGCCTTAACCCACTGAATCTCTCCCAGACCCTCGGCGCGCCGTAGGAATGGGAGGGATTCCTCAAGTGAGACCCCTCCGAAGCCCCCCTCCCGGTGACAGCCCCCCAGACTTGACGGGGCCTCTGGGGAGCGTCTGTCCTCCGCTGCACAAGTGACCGAGCCCCTTACCGTCTGCCCCTCGGCTGCCTTCCCCCTCTGTCTCGCCTTTGGCGGCCCCATAAATGCCATCCCCGCCCTTCCTCTCCCCATAGCAGTCCATTTTTTCGCCGCCGCCTCCCCCCCTCC